ACAAATTATTTGGGAGCTTTGTTGGTGATTTTTATTGCTTACAACCGAATTTCTTGACGCAAATCTTACTCAGAATTTTTTTAACTGGTGAAAAGTTCTAGAATTGTATTCAAAATTCCTGTGCTCACCCTTTTTAACAGACTTGTGTTGAATTTTCAAAATTTTTATAATGAACGATTGCTGTATTTCAATTAGCGATTTCGGAAAAACGGAAAATGTCCAACTAATTTTCAAAAATTGTTGAAGAATGATAGAAAATGTCAAAAGTGCCAAAATCAGTTTTATTTTATCAGACGCTAGCCCCGCCCACCCACCCTCTATTTTCTTCGTGGATATGTCATCTGCCAAAATCAGTCTTATCTTAGCAAGTGCTAGCCCCGCCCACCCGCCATCTTCTCATTTTATTTCTGTATAATATCATTCATTTCATACAGATTGGATAAAATCAATCATTGAAAAGGAGGCAGGGTGGGTGGGCGGGGCTAATTATGTTCTTTGGTCGAATGGGAGTGGCAACTAATAGAATTAACGATGTGAAAAAAATACACCCTTAATCTATTGTGTTCTACTGTTGCAATATCTTCTACCAAAATCTATAAATTTACTTATATTAGTTCTAAAATGAAATTCTTCTAGAATGTCATCCCAAATTTTTGGATATCTTATAATTTCATGAGAACTTTTCGTTATCCTTGTACTTCAAAATTTTTATATCTAGCGATTTTGACGAAACTGCAAAAATTGCTATATTTCAATTAGCGAGTTTGGAAAAATAGAAAATATCCAACTTATTTTCGAAAATAATGGAAAAACCATAGAAATTGACAAAAGTGCCAAAATCAGTTTTATTTTATCAAATGCTAGCCCCGCCCACCCACCCTCAATTTTCTTGTGGGTTATATCATCTGCCAAAATCTACCTTATCTTAGCAAGTGCTAGCCCCGCCCACCCTCCATCTTCTCATTGTATTTCTGTATAATAACATCCATTTCATACAGATTGGATAAAATCAATCATTGCAAAGGAGGTAGGGTGGGTGGGCGGGGCTAATTATGTTCTTTCGTCGAATGGGCATGACAACTAATAGAATTAACAGTGTCAAAAAAGTACATCCTTAATCTATTCTGTTCTACTGTTGCAATATCTTCTACCAAAATCTATAAATTTACTTATATTAGTTCTAAAATGAAATTCTTCTAGAATCTCATCCCAAATTTTTGGATATCTTATAATTTCATGAGAACTTTTCGTTGTTATCCTTGTACTTCAAAGTTTTTATACCGAGCGATTTTGGCGAAACTGCAAAAATTGCTATATTTCAATTAGCGATTTTGGAAAAACGGAAAATATCCAACAAATTTTCGAAAATAGTTGAAAAATGATAGAAAATGTCAAAAGTGTCAAAATCTGTTTTATTTTATCAAATGCTAGCCCCGCCCGCTCACCCTCTATTTTCTTTGTAGATATGTCATTTGCCAAAATCAGTTTTATCTCAACAAGTACTAGCCCCGCCCACCCGCCCCATATTTTCTTGTGAGTTATATCATCTGCCAAAATCTACCTTATCTTAGCAAGTGCTAACCCCGCCCACTCCCCATGTTCTCATTTTATTTCTGTATAATATCATTCATTTTGTACAGATTGGATAAAATCAAGCATTGAAAAGGAGGCAGGGTGGGTGGGCGGGGCTAATTATTTTCTTTGGTCTAATGGGAGTGGCAACTAATAGAATTAACGGTGTCAAAAAAGTACACCCTTAATCTATTGTGTTCTACTGTTGCAACATCATCTATCAAAATCTATAAATTTACTTAAGGTATATTATTTCTAAAATGAAATTCTTCTAGAATGTCATCCCAAATTTTTGGATATCTTATAATTTCACGAGAACTTTTCGTTGTTATCCTTGTACTTCAAAATTTTTATACCGAGCGATTTTGACGAAACTGCAAAAATTGCTATATTTCAATTAGCGAGTTTGGAAAAATGGAAAATATCCAACTAATTTTCGAAAATAGTTGAAAAATGATAGAAAATGACAAAAGTGCCAAAATCAGTTTTATTTTATCAAATGTTAGCCCTGCCCACCCACCCTCTATTTTCTTCGTGGATATGTCATTTGTCAAAATCAGTCTTACCTTAGCAAGTACTAGCCCCGCCCACCCGCCCATATTTTCTTGTGGGTTATGTCATCTGCCAAAATCTACCTTATCTTAGCAAGTGCTAGCCCCGCCCACCCCCCATCTTCACATTTTATTTCTGTATTATATCATCCATTTCGTTCAGATTAGATAAAATCAATCATTGAAAAGGAGGCAGGGTGGGTGGGCGGGGCTATTTATGTTCTTTGGTCAAATGGGAGTGGCAACTAATAAGTAGAATTAATGATGTGAAAAAAGTACACCCTTAAACTACTGTGTACTACTGTTGCAATATCTTCTACCGAAATCTAGAAATTTACTGATATTAGGTCTAAAATGAAATTCTTCTAGAATGTCATCCCAGATTTTTGGATATCTTATAATTTCATGAGAACTTTCCGTTGTTATCTTTGTACTTCAAAATTTTTATACAGAGCGATTTTGAGGAAACTGCAAAAATTGCTATATTTCAATTAGCGAGTTTGGAAAAGTGGAAAATATCGAACTAATTTTCGAAAACAGTTGAAAAACCATAGAAAATGACAAAAGTGCCAAAATCAGTTTTATTTTATCAAATGCCAGCCCCGCCCACCCACCCTCTATTTTCTTCGTGGATTAGTCATTGGCCAAAATCAGTTTTATCTTAGCAAGTACTAGCCCCGCCCACCCGCCCCATATTTTCTTATAGGTTATGTCATCTGCCAAAATCTACCTTATCTTAGCAAGTGCTAGCCCCGCCCACCCCCATCTTCTCATTTTATTTCTGTATAATATCGTTCATTTCATACAGATTAGATAAAATCAATCATTGAAAAGGAGGCAGGGTGGGTGGGCGGGGCTAATTATGTTCTTTGGTCGAATGGGAGTGGCAACTAATAGAATTTACGATATGAAGAAAGTGAAGCCCACGTCTTTTTTATACTCTCTGTATTGAAGAACTAGAAAAAAATGTGTGTCTTCAGTTCTATCGAGAACATTCTCAATTTGCTATCTTCAACGACTGAAATCTTATATCGAATTCTAATAGATTCATCTTTATTTGTTCTAAATTGAAATCCTTCTTTAGTATCGTATTTACTAATAAAATATATTAGAACATGTTCGAAAGTTTCTATATTGACTAGACCGAAAATATCTAGAACATCCGTTTTTCTAAATAGAGCTTCTAGAACGCGCTTTTTACACACTCAATCTACTGTTTCAATATATTCTACCAAACTCTATAAAGTTACTAAAGTTCGTTCTAAAATAAATTTTTCTAGAACGTTGTTTCCAGTTTTTTGGATATTTTAGAATTTGATGAGAACTTTTCCCTGTTATCCTTATTTTGATGACCAATCTATTTTGTTCTATTTTCATCCACGATAACAAATTTTTTTTTCAAGTGAATGTTCTAAAATTTATTCGAAACTTCGACTGTTTTCGCATCAAAATAAAATTTCCCTTCTTCTTCTTCTTCTTCATAGTTCTAAGAATGTTCTTCAGTATTATGTTCGAGAGGCATTCTTTCTATTTAAGTATTTCTGTCTATCTTTTAAGTCACTTGGCCCAAGTCTTTTTTATACTCTCTTTATTGATGAAATGTTCTAGAAAATTTGTGCGTTCAGTTCTATCAAAAACATTCTCAATCTGCTAACTTCAACGACTGAAATCTAATATCGAATTCTAATAGATTCATCTTTATTTGTTCTGAATTGAAATTCTTCTTTTATATCGTATTTACTAATAAAATATATTAGAACATGTTCGAAAGTTTCTATATTAACTAGACCGAAAATATCTAGATCATCCGTTTTTCTAAATAGAGCTTCTAGAACTCGCTTTTTACACACTTAATCTACTGTGTTCTAATATTGCAAAATCGTCCACCAAATTCTATAAATTTACTTCCGTTTGTTCTAAAATGAAATTCTTTTAGAATCTCGTCTTCAGTTTATTATATATTTTAAAATTTCATGATAAATTTTCATTGTTCGTCCTCGTGTTCGAATAAAATTCTTCTTCTTCTTCGTTCTAATGATGAAATATTCTAGAACATATCTAAAAGTTCCTATATTTACAAAATCGAACATTGTCTTTAGTTTTTCGCATATTTTAAAATTTCATGAAAACTTTTTATCTTTAGTGATGAAATGTTCTCGAAAAACTTTTGCATTTTACTTTACAGAAATGTTCAGAGTTCTTTTTCTTCGAATGAGGTTTTTAAATTCTCTTGATATGCCCTCAGTCTACTGTTTTTGGAACTTCAGGCGTACATCGTGGTCAAAATATCTCTATTTCTTTTTCTGAAATCTAAATTTCAGTTTGTTATAGAATTTGGAGAATGTCTTGAGTCTACAGTGTGACCTGGCCTGATTTGACCTGACTTGAGCTGAGCTCTTGTAGCTTGTCGTTTTCGAATAGAATTTTAGTCTTCACATAAAATTGAGACACGGCGATCTTATATTCTGGGTGAAAATATGATGTAGAATTTTCTTCATTCTATCCTCCCGTTCTTCATCATCTGCTCCTATCGACAACTTCTAAAATTATATAATACTTAGTCAGGCTGACGTGAGATATCTTCAACAAACCCTGAAATTAAATTTCCATCATCCAAATCTTCCCCACAGGAGTACAAATTACACCCTCCCGTTTCTTCCTTTCAGTGTTACTTCTTCACACCTCGCCCCATCCCCCCCGCCGCTTCCGCCACCCACACGAAAATTTTTCCTGCGACATCTTCGTCGCCCTGCTCACATCTTAATTCCGCGAAAATCGCTCTTTTTTTATACTCGTGCGGGCATCTCGCGCGCGTCCCGACCCAGGCCGACTTCGCCGTCTCCGCAGGATCCTCTCAGATGCGTGCACAGCAGGACCGCAGCAGGAATAGCCAGTCGTGCGGGAATCTCGTCGGGAGGCGGATGCGAGCGACTCTGGCGCGAGTTCGCGGAGCGTGCTGATATGGTAGTTCTGGCCCTTAATTAAACCCCACATTTTTCCGCAGGAGAGCCCGCAGGGGGTTAAGGAGATGTGATATTGGTGGTTGCAGTGTCCGGGATTTAGAGCGCGATGTGACGAGTCCTCGGCTTGAATGCAAATTTTTCTGGTAATTTGGGGGCTGATCTGAGTGCGTCGGTACGGTTTGGGGTGGTTTGGACGATTATCGAGGTGTGAGGCGGGGTTGTTGTGGCTAGTGTATATTTAGTTGCTTCGCACCTTCACATACTTTGTATTTATAGCTCGGGCTGTTCGCGTGGAGTAATTAAATGGAATGACAGTGAGGTGTTGAATGTACTTGGCCTGATGGTATCAAGAAGATGCTGTGGTTCGTTCTTATGGCGTAAGTAACTTGGCGTGATGGAATACATCCTCCCCTTTAAACTAGTCGGGAAGAGCGCTTTATATTACATCTAACGATTCATGTACCAGACTTTAACTAAAAAAAAAATATTTTACGGAAAGTGGATGAACTGAAATATTCTTGGCTCTCTTGAACTTCTCAAAACGTGTTTATTTCATTGTATCAAAATTATGTCATAAAGTTATGAGTTATAATATTGATGTTTGACTTGGATTTTGTGCCGCGTTTGAACAAACTTTGACACATTGTTTAATCTCAAACTTACTCTACTTTCTAGGAATTTTCAAGATCAGAAAAATCTATTATTCTACTTAGTTATAGAACTATGAATAATAATGTTGTGTGGTGGTATAAAAAGATTAATTTTATTTTGATTTTCTCTCGCAGATATTTTTCTTGTCAAACTCAATCTATAATACTTTGGTTAGAAGCATCTTTAAAATTACGTGAAGGACGTTTCTCATTATAGTAGGTCAAAATATTTTATTAATAACAAAAATCGGTGTTATGCAGTGCTTCCCTTACACAAATTTTACGTATAAAATTTTTGAAAAATGTCGATTTTTTCTGAATAATTTAGCTTCACAGGGACTCTGTAAGATTATTATTATAAAACAAATCTAAGTAGCGTTCATTCGTAAACGTCCATATGAGAACGCATTATTTGAAAAAAGAAGACTAAGAATGCGAGCGCAGCGAGTACGTTTAGGTGTCATTAAACATTATTCCTCAGTGTCCCTGAGAAGCCAAATTATTCAAAAGAGAATTTTATATTGTCCAAAAAAGGTGAATCTTAAAATTGTTTGTGATTAATTATCTGTTAAACTGGGAAGACTTTAACAATTTATCTAAATGTGCTCGCTGCGCTCGCATTCTAAGAGTGTATATTTTGGAGATTTATTGTAATGACAATAAAGCTGAAAAAATAAGTTTAAAATGCGAGCGCAGCGTGCACGTTCAGGTGGAGTTTAAAAAATATTTATTAGTGTCCCTGAGAAGCTAAATTATTAAGAAAAATGTTCTTGTTTAAAACTGTGAGTTTGAAGGTCGTTTCAGAGTTTGATTCTTCCAGAGTAATTTACTTTCACAGGGCAATCTCGAATTATTATAATAAAAACTAAAAAACCTTGCCTACCATAGATTTGTAAATATTTTTATGACACTAAATCAATAAAGAAAAAGAACATTCAGAATGCGAGTGCAGCGAGCACATTTAGGTGTTAAAGGTCGATTTATTTGTCTTTATTTTTTTCTTAATATACCTAGTATTCTTTGAACAACACGAAACTCAAAAACATGTTTTTAATTTGTCGTAGAGAGATAAGGATTTTACAATTAAACTCCGCCCCTCGGCTTACGACGAATTAAAAAATCATCAGAATTGAGATAGGGCGGGTGGGTGGGGCTTATATTTTCCTTGTTATTCATAATATACATAGCCATTTTTTCACAACAAGAAACTTAAAACATAATTAAAATGCAAAATCGACATTTCCTTTACAAATTTTCCATTTTAAACATGTTTTAAGTTTCATGTTGGGAAAAGGAGTCTACACATATTAAAACAAAAAGGCAAAATGTAAGCCGGCCCGCCCTCCCTGTCTCAATTGTGATGAATTTTTTTATTCGCTGTGAACCGAAGGGGCGGAGCTTAATTGCAAAATCCTTCTCTACAAGAAATAAAAAACATGGTTTTGGGTATCTCATTGTTCAAAGAATACTACATATATTAAAAAAGAGGGGTAAATATTAACCCCGCCCACCCACCCCATCTCAATTGTGATGATTTGTTTAATTCTTAGAAACTTAAAACACGTTTAAAATGGTGAATTATTGTAAAGAAGTAATAAGGATTTTGCAATTAAATTTCGCTCCTTTGGCTCTTGACGATTAAAAAATCACCACAATTGAGAGAGGGTGGGTGCGCGGGACATATATTTTCCCTTCTTTCTTAATATACGTAGTCGTTTTTGATAATAATGAGGGATTTTTTTAGTGTCTAGAAAAAATTTATCTTGGGAATATTTGTGAAAACTAAAGTTGGAAGGACCCCAGCAACCTGAACTTGCTTGCTGCGCTCGCCTTCTAATATTTGGGTTTTTTTAAGTATTAAGTCTAGAGATTTATTATTACAACAAAACCTAGACAGCTTCGCTGAGATCCTTTTTTAATCACTTCTATGAGACTTCACGGCAAAAATAAAAGAACGGTCAGAATGCGAGCGCAGCGAGCACGTTCAGGTGCAGCTTGAAAAAATATTTCTTGATGCCCCTGAGAAGCTAAATTATTAAGAAAAATTTTGTTGTTATTAAAAATTGTGAGTTTGAAGATGGTTTCAGAGTTTGCTTTTTCCAGAGTAATTTACCTTCACAGGGCGATCTCGAGAATTATTATAATAAAAACTAAAAAACCTTGCTGACCATTGATTTTAAATATTTTTATGAAACGAAATCAATAAAGAAAAAGAACGTTAAGAATGTGAGTGCAGCGAGCACATTTAGGTGTTAAAGGTCGATTTATTTGTCTTTATTTTTTTCTTAATATACCTAGTATTCTTTGAACAACACGATACTCAAAAACATGTTTTAAATTTGTCGTAGAGAAATAAGGATTTTAAAATTAAACTCCGCCCCTCGGCTTACGATGAATTAAAAAATCATCAGAATTGAGATAGGGCGGGTGGGTGGGGCTTATATTTCCCTTGTTATTCATAATATACATAGCCATTTTTTCACAACAAGAAACTTAAAACATAATTAAAATGCAAAATCGACATTTCCTTTACAAATTTGCCATTTTAAACATGCTTTAAGTTTCATGTTGGGAAAAGGAGTCTACACATATTAAAACAAAAAGGCAAAATGTAAGCCCGCCCGCCCACCTTGTCTCAATTGTGATGAATTTTTTTATTCGCCGTGAACCGAAGGGGCGGAGATTAATTGCAAAATCCTTCTCTACAAGAACTAAAAAACGTGTTTTTGGGTATCGCATTGTTCAAAGAATACTACATATATTAAAAAAAAGGGGTAAATATTAACCCCGCCCACCCACCCCATCTCGATTGTGATGATTTTTTTCATTCTTAGAAACTTAAAACACGTTTAAAATGGTGAATTATTGTAAAGAAGTAATAAGGATTTTGCAATTAAATTTCGCTTCTTTGGCTCTTGACGATTAAAAAATCATCACAGTAGGGAGAAGGTGGGTGGGCGGGGCATATATTTTCCTTTCTTTATTAATATACGTAGTCGTTTTTGATAATAATGAGGGATTTTCTTAGTGTCTAGAAAAAAATTATCTTGGAAATATTTGTGAAAACTAAAGTTGGAAGGACCCCAGCAACCTGAACTTGCTCGCTGCGCTCGCCTTCTAATGTTTGAATTTTTTTAAGTATTAAGTCTAGAGATTTATTATTACAACAAAACCTAGACAGCTTCGCTGAGATTCGTTTTTAATCACTTCTATGAGACTTCTCGGCAAAAATAAAAGAACGGTCAGAATGCGAGCGCAGCGAGCACGTTCAGGTGAAGTTTGAAAAATTATTTCTTGATGCCCCTGAGAAGCTAAATTATTAAGAAAAATTTTATTGTTATTAAAAATTGTGAGTTTGAAGATGGTTTCAGAGTTTGCTTTTTCCAGAGTAATTTACCTTCTTCACAGGGCGATCTTGAGAATTATTATAATAAAAACTAAAAAACCTTGCTGACCATTGATTTTAAATATTTTTATGAAACTAAATCAGTAAAGAAAAAGAACATTAAGAATGCGAGTGCAGCGAGCACATTTAGGTGTTAAAGGTCGATTTATTTGTCTTTATTTTTTTCTTAATATACCTAGTATTCTTTGAACAACACGATACTCAAAAACATGGTTTTAATTTGTCGTAGAGAAATAAGGATTTTACAATTAAACTCCGCCCCTCGGCTTACGATGAATTAAAAAATCATCAGAATTGAGATAGGGCGGGTGGGTGGGGCTTATATTTTCCTTGTTATTCATAATATACATAGCCATTTTTTTACAACAAGAAACTTAAAACATAATTAAAATGCAAAATCGACATTTCCTTTACAAATTTTCCGTTTTAAACATGTCTTAAGTTTCATGTTGGGAAAAGGAGTCTACACATATTAAAACAAAAAGGCAAAATGTAAGCCCGCCCACCCACCCTGTCTTAATTGTGATGAATTTTTTTATTCGCCGTGAACCGAAAGGGCGGAGCTTAATTGCAAAATCCTTCTCTACACGAAAAAAAACCATGTTTTTTGGGTATCGCATTGTTCTAAGAATACTACATATATTAAATAAAGGGGTAAATATTAACCCCGCCCACCCACCCCATCTCAATTGTGATGATTTTTTTAATTGTTAGAAACTTAAAACACGTTTAAAATGGTGAATTATTGTAAAGAAGTAATAAGAATTTTGAAATTAAATTTGGCTTCTTTGGCTCTTGACGATTAAAAAATCATCACAGTTGAGAGAGGGTGGGTGGGCGGGGCATATATTTTCCTTTCTTTCTTAATATACGTAGTTACAATTTGCCTTTTTATTTTAATATATGCAGACTTCTTTCCACAACATTAAACTTACAACATGTTCCAAGTTTCTTATTGTGAAAAAGTGGCGTGTATATTAAGAAAAAAAAGCACAAAATAAGCCCCGCCCACCCGCCCCATCTCAATTTGGATGATTTTTTTTATTCGTCGTAAGCCGAGGAGGGAGCTTTCCAGTTTCACACTGACAAATAATTGTCCAATGAAATGTTAAGTATGCCACCATCATTATTTTAAAAATAAATTTCATGACCTTCCTGACAAGTTTTTTTCGATGATATTGGATTTAATAGCGACTAGAATTTCGGGAAAATAAGGTCAGAATCAATGAAATGAATTGCTTCATTTTTTTATTTACTCGGTATAAATAATTCTAAATGCTGACAGCAAAATCGTTTTTCGAATTTAAAATCAAAGTATTAT